GAAGAAATCACTTTTACTTTCTGCTATCAAAATTCTACAGTCTCTATATTTTCCATTAAAATACCAAGAATATCTATGAAGCAATAACAATAAAGCATTTCTTTTTAGTATTTGCCAATGATACTGAGATCGCTTTGTTTCACTATTGGCTAATAACTCTGCAGTAAATAAATCTAATGGGATAGACCGACTAGTTAATATACTTACTAACTAGAATTCTAATGATACCACCCCTAGACTGGTTGCAAACACGACTTAAATACTGATTAAAAATCAGTTCTTTATTCTAGTTTTCATTCCAGTATGTGGCTACTCATAGGTCACCCTCTGTGTCACTCTTCATTCAAGGAAATGAAACACTCGCCGAGTCCCGCACCATCCCCACAATCGTGGACAGCTGCAGCCACCCTATCAATCCATCTCACGGAAAATCTTCCTCTTCTTCTAAGGCAAAATATCCTTCTCCAAAAATGAGTCCATCCTCATTACAATCTCAAAAGTATGGGATAGTACGTGTCACATTATAGCTGTTAAGGAGCATTCAGGCTGTAATTTTTCCAAGATTTGTTCTTCTTCTGGAAGTTCCATGATATGCTTAATATTCTGAGCCAACACTGTAATTCAAATGCATCGGTTCTTCTCCAGTTTCCCCCATTCGGTGTTGGTTTTCCACATGCATATGAAGCAAAAGAAAATACTGTGGTTTGGATCAGGGGCACCTGTGTCAAGGTGACATCGTGGCTCTTCAACACTTTTAAAGAGGGCTTTGACAGCACTTTCGTCCAATGAAATAAGTAGTCAGACTTCCCAACTGCTGCTTTCATAGGTGTAGACTGTGAAATTAAGTCCTGGATAACGCCGATGTTCTAGTTAATCACTACGTGTCCACTTATGAGGGTTTTTGCTTCTTTACGCTGGTAATCCAGTGAGACCTGTGGTCTTTGACCTTAATGAGTACCGTATATACTCAAGTATAAGCCAAGTTTTTCAGCACATTTTAAATGCAGTTTTGTGGTAAAATTAGGTGCCTCAGCTGGTTTATATTCGAGTATATACGGTAAGCGCTCTAGGTCTTCTTTGCTTTCAGCAAGCAAAGATGTGTCCTTTGCCTGTCTCAGGGGGTTAATAAGCCTTCCTGTGGCCCCGATGTCCCATTCTTCTTTATATAGCCGCTTCTTGACATGTCTGACCCAGTGTACACATCAATGCAGAATACAGCGCAAAGATGCACCCTGATGTACACTTCCTGATTCTGAAAGCAGATTTCGCTCTGTAGAACAACTGCCTCTACACACAGGTGTGGGTCCCTGGAGCACAATTTAGTGCTGTGGAACTTGCAATGTTTTCCAAATTTGTTATGATCCACAGTTGAATAACTGCAGTCAATGAAATAGATACTGTATATACTCGTGTATAAGCCAAGTTTTTACAGCACATGTTTAATGCAGGTTTTGTGGTAAACTTAAGACTCCGTGGCTGATATTCCGGTAGGTTTATACTCGAGTATATATGGTAAACATATTCCTGTTATGTTCAACTTTCAACCAAGAGCCATTTGACACCTTCCTTCTGAATTCAGTTTGAATTAGGGGTAATTCACTGGCAGTCATTTTTGTACTTATATTCAGCATTTTACTTGTATGTGATATTAATAATATAATTTGATTATTTGCCCATTTTACTGGGTCACCTTTATTTTTTTTTTAAATGGGCACAATTATGAATGTCTTCCAGTAGATTGGCCAGGCAACCGTCTTTCCCAGTAGACTAAGAAGAAGCTCTAGCATGGCATCTCTTACTGCAACCATCTCACAATTGGTGTTAGTCAATTCCCATAGCCTGTTTTCACTAACGTTTTCAGAGAAGGTCCGGAAAGCTTTACGCTATCCATGTCATTCAGACCAACTCTATTCATTAAGGTCAACTCTTTTCCAAGTATTTCCGATCTTAGGGACTTATCTTTCTGTCACTAGTCAGGCAATGATCCACTGCTATTCATCAGGTTTAAGTGGCCCTTTTTAGTGGAGCCTCAGGCTCTTCTTCATAGTCAGTGTTAGTGTGGGAGTTCTGCTGAAACCTGCATGGCATGCTTAAAGTTGTTGGCGTTTCAAGTACCAGTGGCCTAGTTTCCAGCATCGTAGCAACCCAGAAGCCATGATAGTATTTCGCATCAACAGGTGAGCAGTGCGAAGGGATAAATACCACATATTCAATATGCATGAACATCAAACACACTAGATTTAGAGGTGCTTTAGAACAGAGCTTCAAACACACTAGATTTAGAGGTGTTTTAGCACAGAGCTGCCGAAGATCACAGTGCCCAGCTGGAAGTGATTACCTGCATCGGCGTCGGTGGCCTGCACTCTTGTCAACAGCGTGCCAGGTTCTGTGTTCTCAAACACAGTAATGGTGTACGGGTCAGCAGAGAACTCAGGGGCATTATCATTCACATCTTCTAATGTGACCACAATACTAGCTTGACAGAATCTTCCACCTCCATCTGTTGCCTTGACTAGAAGATTATAAACTGCTTGCTCCTCACGATCAAGCGGAGCTAGTGTTTTCAGTTCACCTAAAACCAAAAATAAATGGCTCACTTGGAATTTACAACATCAAATGAAATAGTGCATCTCATGTCTTCCATATTCTCTTCAAATTAAAAATGGGAATCATGGTCTTCCTTTGGAGACTAATTTTAGCAAGGGCACTGTCAACAGCTGCATGAGCATACTGATCCGAGGTTTTCTAATCTGGCCAGGTGCATGCTTCTTAAAGTTGTAAAGACCTCATATAATGTCAACAAATCCAAGTGGGTAAATTACCAAATTATGAAATAATTTAAATTAACTCAGATGAAAATTTTTTACATGGACATTTTCACATTTAGTTCTTCAGAAAATGTGACAAGAGTAGAGAGATAAACCTTATTAGAAAACCACTACCCAAACTCCAAATTTAAGAAAACATCAAGTACAAAAGGAAAATTTCCCAGCAATTTAAAAATTAAGACACTATGAGTTATTTTAATTGCGGCTCATAATCATGCTTAATTACATGTTGATGGTCACATATTCGAGAAACCCAGCTATAAATATAAAAATGAATGTAGCGGGATGCTAGAGATATGCTTTAAAGGACATGCAGATATAAATAACTTTTCAAAATTTGAATCATTGGTTCAAGTAGGTGATATTGGTGCTCTTAAATTTTCTTTTAATCTAATCCCAATTTTAACGTGCTGTTCAGATGTCTACACGGTCGCAATTGTGTAGCAGCAGTGTCAATCTGCAAAGGGTAAAACCGTACATGGTCTAATCACATGTAGGATTTTTGTTAGAACACTCAATTTGCCCCCAAATTAATCATTACCTGTTTCTGGGTTTAGTTTGAATTTTTCTGCACCTTGGCCAAATAACGTGTACGTAATTTCAGCATTGGACCGGATGTCTGCATCTGTGGCAGAGATCTGCATGATCAACTTCCCAGGAAAGGCATCTTCTGGACTTGTGTCTGAATATAGAGTCTACAGAAATTATAAACAATGTCGTTAGCCTGAAACACTCCAAGTCAGCCTGACTGCCAAGTGAACTATAGAAAAGAAATCCTATTTGGCAACAGAAAATATCAGAAATGACTAAAGTTAAAAATCTAAGGCGCTTTCTTAACTAATTTTTTTTTTTTAACAGAACACATCTGAAGCAAGAATGAATGGAATAGTTAATAACTCTCTATCCTGGAAAGACTAATAGCACTGAACCTACAGTATGCTGCTGTGACAGAGTTGGTTTCCTATTTAGTTATTTAAATTCTTATGAGAAAATCTAAGTAGCATTCGGTATTTATCTAAGTCCCAGAGAAAATCATTAATTGTCAATTCATATCTGCTGCCTGCAATCATTCCTAACACACAATCAAATGACTACAGTTGGGACAAATGTGAGCCCCAAAGATTTCCCACAGCCACAAAGATGGCATGTGATGCTAAGCCGGGGCCCTTGTACAACTCTCAGTGCTCTTCCACTTTGTAACGGACCCTCAAGTACACAGAACCAGGATTTCCAGATCCACCACTCAGGAAGTCATGCCATCAACTGAAACATAGGAGAAGCAGATACAATCTTAATGAATTTATTTTCCTAAATTTGAGCTCTATTACCAATGAGCTACATTTTAGAACCCATGAAAAAGAAAACTGTACACAACTAAAGAAATCAATTATCTAGCTTCTTCTACTATCCCCAGGAGTGATAATAACCTCCAACAGTATGAAAATACTTAAACATACATAGTAGTAGTTGCAAGGGAAGTGAGTTATTTAATGTGGTTCTTCAAGCCAAAGTCTCGAACTTCCATCAAAGGCCGTTTTCCCACATAGGTCTGTTAAGAAGGTGAGGGAAGATACTGATAGGATTCACCTGTGAGTACTTTTGAATAAGAGGCCCTGGAATGCCATTGTGCTGTGTATAAAATGAGCCCTCTGAGAGAGTCTCAGAGGAGGGATCTCATGACCAGCAAAAGCTAGGAGTGGAGCGGGTCCTCTGGACCCTGGACTCTGGGCACAGTGAACAGTCTGGATCCAGAGACAGTTGGAACAGCAGCAGAACCAGGAGCCACAGCACTGGATAGACGGATGGACTTCCCAAGGCACGGAGGAAGTAAACCTGAGTGCTGGTTGTGCAGGAGGCTGGCTCTGGGCACTTAATTGGAGGAGTTGGGCTTACTGGCCCATGGAGGTGGAACTGAGTCCCCTTGGGCTAAGGCTTATGGGAGTGGGTGCCTCTGGGCACTTAATTCAAAGCCCCGAGTTTGCTAACATGGATGAGAGCTGAATGCCTTTTGGGTGTTTAAACTTTCAGTGGAGTGCAATGTCCTTTAGGCATTTATAAGCAAAGCAGAAAGAACTTTGTAACATGTCCTGTGTTAAACAACTTCATCCTGAGCATTTCTCACTGGCATTACAACTTTTCAACTTCCTTAATAAACCTTTTAATTCTCAACAGTTAAACACATAAAAAGAGGTGACGGCATTGTTTGTTCTTTTTTAATACTATGTGATCCCCTTTTACTCAGATTTTGATGTATTATTTGATTATGCGATAAGTGAATTTAATGTCTCTTCCAATTTTAAATATGACGGGATGGACTTCTTAAACAGCTAGGGCATATTTGTGCTGTTATTTATGTTGTACATCACATGCATGTTATTTATGTTGTGCATCACATGCATCTGCATTGCACGTGCATATGCTCTTCAAATTACGATCAATAAAAGTCCGCAGGCGGACAGGAATGAGCCTCTCATTCCTCAGATGTTCACCTTCTCCTCACAGCTGATTTTTTAAAATTGTGGTGGCAAAAACAAAACACAGTCTTAACAATTTCTACATGTACAATTCTGTGCCACTGACTTCATGCTTCACATTCCTGAGATAATTTTAAGTTTGTCTGCCTAATAACAGCTGTTACTTTCCAAGGCTTTCAACAAATCTCATAGTTACTCAATCTGGAACCTTCTCCAAGTCCTCAGCTCCCTTCAAAATTCACTCACCTCTATACACAACCTTCCTGAAGCTGTCAGGTGCTTATTTCCTTGATTCTCGCTTCCTTAGGAAAGAGGGGGCTTCAAAAACGTCTTGGGAAAATAGAATTAAAATAGAATTCGTCCACGAACTTTTTGAAGCCTCTAACGCCTGCAATCAGGCGTCGACTCACTTCACGATACTGAGATGGGCATCTCCAAATTAGCCTGTGTTCACTTCAGCGACGTGGTTGGTTGTTTAAAATCTGCCTCCCCCCTCGGCTTCCTTCTAAAAACACTGCCTTAACACTACAGAGCTCTGAACTGATACGGTCCTCTTCCTTCTCCCTCCACTCTTCTCCCCAAGAAAATACCCATCTCTCCTCTTACTCCTTTTGTATTACCCTCTCTGATTTCAATGATCAGGTATCCACAGAAACTTCAACGTGCACATATCCTTCTCTACCTTCAATCTTGCCGTCTCTAAGTAACACCCTCACTCGAATGGCCCGTTTACCTTACACTTAGCAAATGTGAACTGCAAGTCAACATACTTTCTCTACAACCAATTCCCCTCCAAGTTCATTTTCACCACTGCCTTGAACAAGCTCCCAATCACTCCTGTAGGACACCTTGGAAGCGAATAAGTCAACACTTATAAGGTCATCATGTGTGGGGAGGGATCAAATGCTACCAGTTTTCCCTACATAGTTTCTTTTGTTCTTTGATTCTGTCTGCCAGCGCTCCCTACGCTAATAATCCCATTTTCACTATTCCTCTTCTGGAAAAGGAACATAATACCACCAAATCTTTAGGCAACTCTTGGATTACCATCTGTATAAATACATTCTCTACTTTCCTTATGCGACAGTCCCTTCAAACCCCTAGTAGCTTATCCATTTACCAGTCTCACTGTCCACCCCCAATTTCTTTCCCCTAAACTCAACACAAACTCTCGCCATCTGGCAAGCAAGTTAAGCCACTTAATAGTCCCATAAATGCATTTTCTCTCTTATACCCAGTTGCCTTTCCACATCTACCTGTGATGTCTGGTGACTACCTCCCAAAAACGGATCCTAGGACTCATCTCTTCACATTGTGCCCTCTTCTTTGGTGTGTACATATTTTCTTTTGCACTAAATGGTCAGCTCCACAGGTTCAGGAGCCAGGCTGATAAGTTCTTGGTTTCATTAGAGTTAAATGCTTCCAAAGTGAGCAGCTATAGGAAGATTTTTGTATACAATATTGCTAGCCAATTCTCTCCCCAAAATAACTTCACCTCAACTGAAGGGAAACCCTTCATGAAACGTTCACAGGCCAATTTTGCTTTGCAGACAGCTGCAATCCTGTCCATAATCTGCAGTTCCATGGAATGAGGCTTTGAGGTGATACCGAATTTCAAAGTTTAAGGATTTCTGAATTTTTTCTAACTTGTACCCATTTAACCCCTACCTTTGCTTAAACTGAAAGGGAATGTGATCTAAAACACATTTGAATACCTCAAAGCACTGCATGATAGTCTTATTCAAAGTCCTAAAAGAAGAAATTCAAATGCACAGTATTATCACGAAGAGAGTGGCCTGCCTTTTCACAAACTGGAGAGTTATCATTGGCATCCAGAACTTTGACTTCAACTATGGCTTTTGAAGAGAAGGTGCCATCAGTCGCTGTGATAGTCAGAAGATAATTATCCTTTTGCTCCCGGTCCAGTGGTTTCTTCACATAAACCTTCCATTCATTCTGCATATTTTCAACAGCAAATTGGCCCAAAGGATCCCCACCTATTAAATCATTGGAGAAGAGAAATAAGTAACTGTAAAGTTAAGCTATACAAAAGATATAGAATGCTCTTTTGCTTAAAAAGATAAGGACTTAAGTATATTTAGCTTTGGCATTTACTTGTGTTGGCATTTCTATTTCTAAATAAATAAAACCACTGCAATGTTTTCTTAAACATAACTTATAAGGCCTAGTAAACAATAATTTAGCCTAAAGTTTATTATTTCCTCTTTGATTATATGTGTTACAGACTAAATCTAAAATTCCACAGTACCAAGGGGCTTCAAAAAGTTTGTGGGAAAATCCTAATATCTATCCGTTCCAGTTTTCTATGAACTTGTTTTAGCCTCCTTTTATATAAAACCCAAAATCACTGGCATTAAGTCAATTATGATTCATAGCAACCCTACAGGACAGAGTGGGCCTGACCTTGTGGGTTTCCCAGACTAAATCGCTACAGGAGTGGAAAGCCTCATCCTTCTCCCTGGAGCAGCTGATGGTTTGTTCCCATGCATACCCCAGACGTCAAAAGACATTAAGGAAATAATCCTTAGCTTTGTTCTGGTAAAGACCTTGAAACGTATTGCTCCAGATGCTACTTCTATTACTTTAGATACATTTCACTGTGTCATCTCAATAACTCAAGGAACTTCTACTCAGAGGATTTATGCTTCTAAAACGATCTAATTTTAAGAAGAATCTGGTGTGAAATGTTTACCTGTGATGTAATAGGCAACTTGTCTGTTGATCTCCTCAGAATCTGCATCTGTGGTACTTAAGATGGCAATCACACCGCCCGGAGGATCGTCCTCACTCACGGTCCCTTTATAAATCTCGGCCGTGAATCGCGGGGGACTGTCGTTGACGTCGGTCACAGTGACCTCCACGATGGCTGTGGAGGACAGCTGAACCTTTTCCCCATGATCCGATGCCACCACTTTAATCTGATAACTGCTCCTCTTCTCATGGTCAAGTTCCTTTAGAGTTGTAATCCAGCCTGTCTCCGTGTTGATGGTGAAAGATTCTATGACCTCCACACTCTGGGTCTGATCTAGACTGTACATCACTTGGCCATTGGTTCCCCAGTCTTTGTCAGATGCCCTGGTCTGGATGACTTTACTTCCCCCTGGCAGGTTTTCAACAATAAATGCCTCATACGGATTAGCTTCCAGGACAGGACTGTTATCATTTGCATCTTTCACCTGGATGCTAACATCTACGGAAGCCACCACCTCGTAGTCATCATGAGTGCACTGAGCGAGTATGGAAAACTGATACCATTTTGTGGTCTCGTGATCAAGACTCTTCTCCAGCTTCAACCTCCCGCTCTGTCTGTCAATCACAAAGAAGTCGTCGCGATTACTTTCTGGTGTGCTCCCCTTGACGAGGCTGTAAAGAACAGAGCCGCAGTGATCTGCTCGGATGAGATCGATCTCCGTGCCGATCGGAATGTCTTCTGAAACGGCATAGGTATAAAATGGTTCTGAAAACCTTGGAAGCTGTACTTCCGGGGGAAGTATTCTAACATAGACGGGAACAACAGATTCTTTTTGCGGAGACCCATTATCCACGGCTCTCACAAAGAAAGTGAAGAGCTCATTTTCTAAACCAATTAGGCTTTCCTTGGTGGTAAGGACGCCGGACAGTCTGTTGATTTCCAAATTCTCTTGAACACTTTCAGAATCCGCTTCAATGGCATAGGTGACATCGGCATTGGACCCCTCATCGGCATCACTGGCCAGAACTTTAATGACCGATGTCCCCTTAGGCACATCGGATCCGATGTTCACTTCATACTTGGTTGCCCGAAATTGGGGTGCATTGTCATTGTCGTCTGTGAGGATGACGTTAAGGGTACAGAAGGCAACTTTCCCTCCAGCATCCTTAGCCATTAAACGAACTGCGATCACTTTCTCTGCTGGCGTCTCTCGATCAAGTCTCTCCAGAGTAAATATCTGTCCCCTCTCATTTGTGTAAAATCTGTCTTTGGCAAAGTCGTTGACAATGTGGTACGTGATGTGACCATAAATCCCAGAATCTTCATCGGTTGCTCTAACTTCAGTCACCAAGGTATGTAAGGGCGCGTTCTCAGCTAGCTCGACTTCATATTCGTTCTGCGGGAAAACAGGGCTGTGCAAGTTGCCTCCAGTGACAGTTACCCGGACCTGAGCTGAACTTCTGAAAACGCCATCGGACACGGAGACGTTCAGGTGGTAAAGCGGCTTCAAGGTGTGCCGGCGCAGGTTGGACAGTGTGATGATGCCTGTTTCAACGTCAATGACAAAATTCTTATGCTCGTTGCCGGACAGAATGGAGTATTCCAACTTGTCGGTGTCTGAACTGTCTGCATCATAGGCTTTTACACAAGTCACAAAAAGCCCGGGGTTGGCATGCTCACTGATCTTGGCTTCATAAATCTGCTGGTCAAACAGGGGCGGATTGTCATTGAGGTCAGTGACATCCACCGTGACAATCACTTCACTGCTCAGGGCGGGCATGCCACTGTCGATGGCCCTAACAAAAATCTTGTGCTGCTGGAACTGTTCATAATCCAAAGTCCTGACCAGGGAAATCAGACCAGTGCTGCTATCGATGTGAAAACGATCATGACTCGTGCTGTGATTGCCAAACAGCTGGTATGAAATTCCTCTGTTTGGTTCTGAATCCAAATCTGTTGCTCTAACTTGAATGACAGACGTTCCAATGACAGAAGCCTCGGACAGGGTTGCAGTGTACGACTGCTGAGCAAACACCGGAGGGTTATCGTTGATGTCTTCCACAATAATGTCAACGAAGACCTCCGCGTGAGCATCGGTCAAGGAGTCAGTGGCTCGTATGCACAATTTATATGCGGGGTGGGCTTCAAAATCCAGAGGAGCGATGACATTTATAACTCCCGTGTTGAAGTTAATGGTAAACTGGCTAAAAGGATCCCCATCTGTGATGCTGTAAAACACTTTCAATCCTTCTGGACTGTTAGCTTGGACGTGGACAACTGGACTGTGCATCTGGATGTTCTCCGGAATCTCTGCACTGTAGAAGGGCTTTTCAAACACAGGCATGGCTTTATTCATAACAGTGACGGGAACAATAACCTCAGCTGAAAAGGCTGGGTTTCCTCCGTCTTTTGCAACCACTGTGATGAGATATTCCTTATTTAAGGTGTCCGGCTCAAATTGTTTTTTCAGTGAAATTTCACCTGAGGGTCCGATTTGAAAATGTTCGTGATGCTCCTTGAGGTAGTAATGCACTGCCCCATTTCTGCCACTGTCTCGGTCTACGGCCGTAACAGAGCGGATCACATGACCCTCCTCGGCGTCCACTTTAACCACAGCATAGTAAGGAAGGTTGACAAACACCGGTGCATTATCGTTTTGGTCCTCTATGGTGACCTTCACAACAACATGGGCAACGACTGAAGGCTTATGTTCTTCTGTGACTTCTACCACCACGTCAAATGCCTCCTGCTGCTCCCGATCAAAGGGGACGCCAGTGGTTGAGAGCACTCCTGAAGTGTGGCTTATTTTGAATCTTCGATCTGGGTTGAGGATATGAAAAAACAAGGGCTCATTGATTGGATTCCCAATCGCAGTAATCACAGCTAATGTTTGGACTTCAGTGGAATTCTCCTTCACGACTGCAGAGTACGAATCTTGGGTAAACCTCAACTGGCTTTCTCTGCTCTCTTTCACATTGATTTTCACAGAGGTCAAGCTGGCAAATCTGCCGTCAGATGCTCTAATGGTTAACTCATAGCGGCTTCTTAACTGAGTTGTGTTCTGTACAGTTATAGAGCCAGTCTTGCAGTCCATAGAAAACTTCTCCCCGATATTGCCTTCCGTGATGGAGTACATCACCTGAGAGAACGCACTCGAGTCGGCATCCGTGGCATTTACTGCGATGACTTTTACCCCTTTGTATGTTGGCAACAGAAGTGATGCTTCATATAATGGCTTGGAGAACACAGGAGGGCAGTCATTAATGTCAACGACGTGGATGGTCACATTGGCTGCATATTCAGCAAATAGGCGTGGTGTCCCCATGTCATGCACTTGTACAGTGAAATGAAAAACACTTGCTTCTTCATAGTCCAAACTTAATACTGTATGGATAGCACCGGTGCTAGAGTCAATAGTAAAATACTTGTGCACAGATGGTTCCACAATGTGATAAACAAGCAAAGCATTTGATTCTGTATCAGCATCAGTCGCTCGAATCACTAATGGGACATTGCTGTCCGTGAGAACCACACTATTAATTGAGGCTGATTCACTAATGAGTCCGATGTATTCTGCCTGCATAAAAATCGGTGCATTGTCATTTTCATCCTGTAGATGTACTAGAACAGTTGTATTAGTGGACAAGCCAGCCATGTTAGTTCCTTGAATGACCAACGTATAAGTGGGCAAAGTTTCAAAATCCAGGGCTTTTTGGGTGACGATACTTCCAGAATGTGGATTGATATCAAAAGCACCAGCAATATTTCCATCTTTTATTTCATATACCACCGATGACTGACTATGGGCCATAACCATCACCACAAAACTCCCAATGCTGACAGCTTCACTAATTTCAATAGAATATTCGCTTGATGTGAACTTGGGAGAGGCGTTGTCGGCAATGGTGACAAATATGTGCACAGACGTGATTTCACTCATTGGTGGACTTCCTTGATCAGTAGCTTTTACCATCAGATCATATTCCACTTGGTTATTTCGATCTAATTCCTTGGCAGTTTTTATAGAACCCAAGATGGGATCAATTGTAAAAGCATTTCCAATATTTCCTAAGGGGAGGAAAAAAAGATGTTAGAGATAAGTGTAATTGGAGAAGTAAACAACAAATGCAGGTATTTTAAAATTGCCTTCCAAATTAGGTTCTGAAACGAAACAAAAATTCCAGGAATATCAACATTTGAAAGCAACCTCCAATTTATTTCATTTTATCTACCTAACATAAGGTACGCTTTTCAGTTCTACCAGTATATTACAAAAAGCAAGAAATCAGAATTACACACCGTGCTTTAAACTAAACTGGAAAGCTCTGTATTAGCGGGACTAGGGATGTGTGGAGAACGACATGCTGCACTAACAACATATTTTACAAAAGCCCCCCCAGAACCCCTGTAAAAGGATGCATGCTTTCAGCATTTCTCATCTGCACACGCGTAAGGTTCTTACTTGTTATAAAAGGAGAACCGCCCTAGTTCTCTACTGCTGCTGTAACAGAAATGCCATAACTCATGGCTCTAACAAACAAGTTTATTTCCCCGCAGCAGACTAGAAATCTGAAGTCGGGACACTGCCTTCAGGGGAAGGCTTTCTTTGTCGGCTCTGGAGGAAGATCCTTGCTCCCGAGTGAGCTGCATGCAGATGGACTTCTCTCTTCCCCCATCTCTGCTTGCTTATGACAAAGCTCTTCTTCTTCTGATCAGAGAGGTGAATGGCTTAAATCTCACCTGACACTCACTGACATGACCTCTCAATATAACAAAGAATGCCCATTCCCAAATGGGATTACAACTAACAGTGTATGGATTATGCTTTATGAAACATGTTTTTCAGGGATACAGTTCAAATCCATAACAAGGTAATTTTTCATCAAGCTTTAAGAGAGTTGGTTTAAAATAAGCATTCAATTAATAAATGCATATATAATTGACCCCACTTTATAAGTTATGAAGACTTAAATTTCTTTGTTTACCATTCTCAGGTTGGTTTATTTTCTAGGTTAATGGTGTTGGGGGTGAATATGGCAGTATCTGAGATAATTTGATTGTCACGACTGGGACTGGGATTTTGGGGGTGGGGGGGTTTGCTACTGACCCCTGTAGCAAAGAGATCAGAGATGATGCTAAACTTCCTACAGGCACAGGACATCCCCCAAATCTATGAATTATTTAATAGAAAATGTCAATAGTACTGCTCTGGGTAATTATACTTACCTTCATTGGGCCTCCTCCTGTTTTATTTAGCTGCAATCAGAACTCCACAAATATTTTATCTGTGTACCACTGACAGACATCTTTCTTTGAAAAGCTAGGATTCTATGGCCTTTCTTGAATAGAAAGTATTGAAGGACCTTGAGGTTGGGCCTACCCCACCCATTTGAGCCCTTCCACCCTTCTCTGGATTATAACAGGGGTCCAGAGTTCATCATTCTTATCTGGCCTCTGAATTTACTTTCCCCAAATGAATGGCTGTACAAAGTTAATTTGCCACTTACTTGCCTTCTCAAAATCTGTTTTCCTCTAGGGTTTAGATCAGTATTGCATGTCAATACAGTGGAATTTTCCCCAAATAAAACGGCTACCCAATAAACACACATCGTATGCTGAGGAAACTAACAGACACACAAAAGGATACCTAGGCGTTGCTTGTGTAAAAATACAGTACTTAAGTATGATCTGCAAAACAGGAGTATAACCCAGCACTTTTCTCCGCCTCTAAACACTTCCTCCATAGCTTTCATTTCCTTTCTCTAATACATTTTCTAAAATTTTTTCAGTCTGGTTTACATTATGTCCGTCTGATGCTGTGTCCAGGCCCCAAGTGGCTGTCTGCACCAGGGCGGAGACAGCAGAGCAAGCTCTGCAACAAATCTGGCCTGAGGATGGAGTCCTGCTGCCTCTTCCAGCCCTCGCAGACACACATTTCCGGCCTGTCTATATTCAGAGTCAGCAGTCCCGGAAAGCACTCACTGCACTTTGTTCCGTCATCGGCACATCCAGAGCTTTCCCCGTCTCCCCAGATTGTGACTGACAGCTTGCCTAAAGAGACTGCACGCACCTTTGAACAATTGCCTTCATTCCCTCCCCTGTGACTTTCTTCCATCAGGCGGACTCTTCTCATCCCAGGCTTTTGCACTTCGTGTCTCCCCAGTTACGCTCATTGCTCTTCGGTCCTTCCTTCCACCCATGCATCCTTCCTTCCATCCATACGTGTTATCCTTTATTCAAGTTTGACTTCCCTGCCATGGCTCAAAGAGGTCTTCTTTGACTTCCCCACCCGACTCTCCATGGCTCTTCCAAGGCCCTTAAGCCTGTCTTTTCCTTGCAGAGGCACCACAACCTGGCATTACATTCTATATTCGTTTCTTAACTCGCCATTATCTGATTTCCCACTAAGACCTCAGCACCGTTTAAACTCTGTTTCCTATTATATCTCCAGTGCGCCGGGGGAAAGAAGATTGGCATGTAAGCACTCACTACAGTATCTGTTGAATAAAATGATTCTTACACATGAGCATGCTCATGTTTAGAGGAACAAGGAATTAAAGACCAAAAGGTTGGTCAATAGCCTAGAGAAAATTAATACTCATTAAAGCACTATCTTTCTGGGTTTCTGTCTTCATACTTCTCTCCCTACCAACAGCTATTTAAAAGTATTAACAAACAGAATGTACAGTCTAACTGGGAATCTCTGACTGACGGAAAAATCTTATGAGCTATGAGAAATTCAGACACATTATCCGGAGCAAATAGATGTAAATGAATACAATTCTGGGCTTAACACTGGTAACAAGAACATTAAAACAGGAAACCAGCTGGTGGGTGTACAGATGTGACAGGGAGAAATATGGAGAAATCATCAAATCTGCAGGTAATGCACGCAAGCAGAAGACCACTGAGGGCTGCTAAAGGAAAGACCATGGGAAACAGGCTCCTGGCCTGACACTGAAACACACATGTGTGGGGCTTCTTCCCCTGCATGCAATGAAGTTAAGCGAGTGTTTTCTAACTGGTCCATGCTTTAGCTAGCTATAAAATTTCAATTATATTTAACCTTATTTTGGGTAAGAAAACAAATGATGTCAATTAATCTATTTCTTCAGCATGGTCTAGTTCCAGGTATTGTGATGCTTTTTCAAGTAGCACTGTAATAATCTACATTTAAAAAAAGAAATAAACAGAAGTAAATACTGTTTGGCCCAGAATATGGCATTGATAGCTCTAATGCAGAACTCAATTGTTACTGAAAATATCCTTTAATTAATTCCTTTCTCCCTCAAGACTCCTAATCAGACCAAACCTTTTGCTCATAAATTGCTGCTAATTAAACATGCACAGTACTAGAGCCTGAATTTATAACCAGTCATGTTAACTTTATAAAATGTAATCTATTACAAATTAGAAGCAGGTGATTATAATAAAACTTTAAATGAAAGGCAATGTGACTATTTTATAGTTCATACTACTCCAATATATACAAATTATTCTGTATCTCACTGATACATGTTCCCTAGTAAGTGTGTAGCCTAATTTTTATAACTACCAAATACATATATAAGAAAATTAAGTCCAAATTCTATATGGAAAAGTCCCCTCTTTGAGAAGAGAATATAGTTCCATTCTTGAAATGCCAAATTACTAATCCCTCAGTCATTATAAGAATTTCAAGAATGCACATGCCTTTACTCAAGCTCCAACAATCATATGTTAACCACCCAGTCATTGACAATTATGTGAACGCTAAGGGAAAGTCTAACATTTACTCCTACACAAACAGTTTGAGCAAATTATTTTACTGAAATGCTTAGACATGCACAAATGGAATGCGCTGTTTTTCTAACTGCTGAATTTCCAAACCAGTGGAAAAAAACAAACTTATTCAAGGCACTGACCACATTACAATTCATTTTAAGGCCAAGATTATAGGCAGTATCTAAAATCTTATTAGTTGCGTAATGGATTCAATGTGGTCATTTTCAGGGAAACAAATAAAACTTTAAATATATGAAGAAATAAAGAGAGTTGAACCGCACAAAACAGACTGGCAAGAATTGTTTTTTTAAATTATTCCCCCTTCACTTGGATTTTGATTATGAACTAAAGTGAAATATGCCTCTTCCAATTTTAATGCCTAAGGAAAATACAGCGAAGATCCAAAAAGTGAGGGGGAAAAAATCCATTTTCTTTCATCAGATTCTCCTACAAACCTCTTGAAGTTATGTGGTAGTATGGATTTTTGTTTATTTTTTAAGTGAGGTCAACTGAAGATCTCAATCTTTAAACACCGTGATAAACCGAGACTGAGAGGGACTGCGTCCCTTATCCTAACAGCAGCAAAGAGGACGCTATCTCCCCGTGCTTCATCCCGAGACTCGGCGTGAGAAGGGCAGGCCCCAGAGCAGAGCAGTTTCTGACCATCATTTATGTATTCTAAACTAAATGTGTGTTTTAATCCGGGGCAAAATTCTTTTGCAAATACTGTCCATCCATGGATCAACTGTAACCCCTAACTATTTAGCACATTTATGAATTAGCACCACACAGGTACATAAATGAGCTTAATTAGTCTGTGGAATGAAAATGTTAAGGGAATGAGTGACAGCATAAAACACAACAGAGAAGAAGGACATTCTGCTGGGCCACCCTTACTCACTGGATCCCCCCTTCTTCTCATCACCAACTACACTCTTTGCTGGGCCGCCTTTACTCACTGGATTCCCCCCTTCTTCTCATCACCAACCACACTCTCAGTTTCTTGCCAAATTGTTCTAGACCCTGCCCAGGCCAGTAACGAGTCGGTCTGGTCTTTTCCTTATCTGTTGTCTCTTGCCCAACTCCAGTAGCTCACCACCAGCCTTGTCCACACTGCTTCTGGTCCTAATCCCATGGCTTTGGGGACTGCTATCACAGTCAAATTCCATGAATAAAACAGAACGATGAAAGGTAAATAAATGGGAGTCAAAGTGGGACAAAAGCAGTACCTAGAAGGGAATAGAAAGGCACATGCCCCGCTTTAATAAAAAGGCTTCAGCACATTGACATAGAATGTCTTGCTCTGCCCATGACAAAATATTGCCTTACAGTAAATGTCAGTGGACCCGACTATTGTTTTCCTAGTTAACAGACATAATGATTATGTGGTTAAAATAATCTTTGGAATGATTATAAGCTTTTTTTACTGCAGGGCTTTGCAGCATCCCTATTGACGCTAATATTATGAATCACCAAGAACTTTATCCAAGCTCAGTTAGGACTCACTCTCTTTGCTTTCCATTGGGTTAACATTTGTGGCAGGGAAAAAAAAAAATCATTTTCTCATACCATTTAAAATGGAATATAGAGGTCCATTTGTGCAAATTTTGCAGTGATCCACAGAATACTTAAAACCAAGTGCAAAGTGAAACAATTCACTGAGTGTTCCAAAAGTACCTGACTCGATGGAGTACCGCACTTCAGCATTTTCCCCTTTGTCCTTGTCCAGCGCTGTAACCTGCAGCACGACTGAGCCCACGGCGGCTGATTCGTACACCCGACCTTCATAGGAGGAGCTGGTGAACCACGGGGCATGGTCATTGGTGTCGCTGATGTTAACCACAATCCTGGCATAGTTGCGCTTGACAGGAACATCTTGATCCCGGACCTGAAAGAATGAGTACGTTGCCAACCCTGTTGGAGCGTTTCTTAAAACTGGTTAAAATCAGTCTCAAAAGCAGGAGACCCTTTCTAAGACCCCTAAAAGGACTGACAGCAGAAGGAGAAGCACAATGACCTACCATCACGGTGAGAACGTGCTGGTGAACAGCTTCATGGTCGAGCTGTTCAGACGTGGAGAGCGCGCCAGTTGCAGGGTCAAGACGGAATTTCTTGAGACTAGAGGGATCAACACTACTTTGCAGCGTGTAGATGAGTTTGTTTTTCTCATCTTTATCCACAGCACTGATGTGTAAAATTTCTGTCTCTGGCATTGTATCTTCTGGAATAACAACTTCATATTTTGATGAAGAAAACTGAGGACGGTGGTCATTTGTGTCTATTACTTTGATGAATACCTGCAATGATTAAAATCATTTCAAGTACCAATATCCATAATTATGAAGTTTTCATATTTAAGAAGTCTGGAGAAAATCATAAGCACATTAGAAATATATTACTTTTAACAAAATGCAATACAAATGAGAAACAAAAACAACAAAAATCCATATTCAAAAGTATATTAAAATTGCCCATTGGTATATTTATCTAAGTCTGATTAAGATAATGAAGATCTAGAAATTCTTAAAACTAACTTTAAAGAGAAAATGAAAGAAGTGAAATGCAGATTCAATAATCTTAGGTTTCCCCAAAAGAGACATTTCTAGATTATTCATGTAAAGATAATAAAGGATTTATCAAGATTTATAGAAATTCGCGTTTTGCTTTAGAGCTGAACATGTAACTGCTAAGTTAAAGGGAAGCATCCTGTATACCATGCCCTGTTCTAATCTTTGAAAACTCACATTCCTAATGATAGGATTATTTTTGTGTATACAAAAGGAAAACTAAAAAAGCAGTTTTCAATCATAGTTTCATAATCACAAAGCCTACACAGGTAAGTCAAGAAGTATATTTCCTAAATCAATTTAAGTCGACAGAAAAATCTTTTAAATAACTAAGTCATCATAATGTAAAATTTTAGAGGGAAAATAATACTTTTTAACTCAGTCCTGAACCAAATTTCAAACAATAATTTTATAGTACAAGGAATAGTTTTCAGATTTAAAAGACACATGTGGGTACGATATAGTAGAACTCATTACCAACCACAAAAGATGGCTCCCGTAACGACAAGTCACAGTGGTACAAAGTCCCAGGAGACCAAGAGGTAAGTTGCTAACTAACGACACTGGCACAGAGGCCTTTCAATGAATACTAGGCTAGTGTTCTCAAAGAAGAGTACAGTAAGATTTATACGAATATGATGTACATTCATCAAACTGTAGGACATACACATTGAAACTTCAGAAGCTTCGCTTTTGCACGTCAAAGGCCATCTAGAAAGGATTATAAAGGTAATGTCTACAAATGAAACCATTACATAGTCATTGCTGGTACAGATCTGAAAGTGCTCTTCCTCCGAGGAGCGAGTACTGGGCAGAGAGAGCTTAATCCTCAGCTAAGATCAATTACATCGCAGGTAAGTAGAACCAGCTGCAACCAAACCACTAACACTTAAAAAGCAAGATGGACGTATTTATTAGTTACTTTCATATGTGTCCAAAGAGCCTTGGCGACACTGTGAGGTAAGCAGAGGATGCCAACTACAAGGTTAGCAGTTCAAACCCACTAGACCCTCAGCAGGAGAAGATAAAGCTGCTACCATGAAGAGTTACAGCCTCAGAAACCTTATATACAGTCACTATGAGTTGGAATCAACTCAATGGCAGAGAGCTTGGGTTTTCGGGAGCGGGGGGGTGGGGGATACCTATGTGCTTGGGCAGTTGCTTATTACTGAGGTGTTATGAACTGAACTGCTTCCCTCAAAATTGTGTCCTGGCCCCCAAAACTGTGGATGGTTTTCCTTTTGTTATCTTAATGAGGTCATACAAATGTATGGAGGATCCTAAACCAAATCGCTTCTGAGTTATAATAAGATGAGAACAGACATGAAGATGCACACAAACAGAGGCGATGACAGGTGCCTATGAGAAGTGCCCATAACCAAGAAAGACAAAAGCAACATCCACACTGACAACCAGAAAGGATTTGACAAGGCAGAGACCCATGTGGACCTTTAGTGAGAACTGTGAGAAGAAAAACAACACCTCTTTCTGTGTATTTCAGCTACAGACACCTACATCTGACCTGCTGGTCTGACTTATCAATGCTCTTCTGATCTCTGTGCTCCTCTTAGTATTTGCCTCTTTGCTCTCCCTTAGATAACTTCCCTGTTCTCAGCCAGTCCAGAAACCTGAACTCAAAAACGGATGGCTCTCTGATCCACGCGTTACCAACTCCTCTACCTGGGCTCTGAGATTCTGATTACCTTCTCTCCCCAGCAATTCATTTGGGTATTTTCAAGATCCTATGAGAACGACCCCCCTAAAAAGCTGCAAGCAAAAATGAGGCACAAACATCTGAGATATTGTGTCCCATAGTAAGGTAAAAACATGGTGCTGTAGACTTTTCACTCAATCTACACTCTATTAATACAAAGCTTTTAGCTAACGCATCATTCTCAGGGGAGGGGTGCATTACTAATTACTTGTTTATGCAATACACGCAGAATGCCGCAGGTCTATGTATCATCTACAGACGTGAGCACACCTGGCACACAAGACTTTCCTCTTCCTTCCTCTTGCTAAGAACTGGTTTGGTGATCATTCAAATGGTCAATGTGCATACATATCCTTCAGTCTTTAAACCTTTCCCCTTCAGAATTATGCCATTACATAAATTATACTTCTTGTTGTTTCATTCACTAAACTCTAACTTCATGAACTTATTTTTGAACGAGAAAAATCAATTCTGCTGGTCTACAGAATAAGAACAGTTACCCACAAAACTGAAATTTTAATATTCTACTAGAACTTTTACAAGACAATCTTAAAATGATCCCAGGGCATGGCATATATATCAATTTTGCATGTACTAGAAATTAGAATTTAATTGGAGAAAGGGATAAAATATTGTCATACCAGCTTTCAATTATCTACTCATTTCTTTTTTGAAAAGACATCAATAAAGAAACTATCATTTCCATTATTTCAAAGCAACAAATTATTTAGCTGATGATTTGTCTTATTTAAGATTTATAACAATATTATTTAAAGTTAGAAAACTAAACTCTAGAAGCATTTTCATCTACAGTATTGAATTCCATCCTTTTCCTTTTGAGGCACATACATATCTACACATACCAGTATTCATCTAATTGTCAGGGTAAACGACTGTCCTAGTCTCAGTTTCCATGCGACTCAAACGTCTGTAATTTTTAGAGTTACAGGAGCTTCCCAGAGTACTTCCTGTTACTTTTCAGAGAGCAATTTAAATAACGGTATATGGCCGAGAGAGTATTTACAGGTGTTCACAGTACGGTCAAGGCCTCTAAATGGCATCAGGATTGGGAAAATGGGAGGGCAGTGAGAAATAAGACCTGCAGTGAAAAAGACGGACACTGACCGCAACAGTGGGCTCAAAGATCACAACAATGGTGAGGACAGACAAAGATCAAGCAGTGTTTCGTCCTGTCGTAGAGTCACTATTGGTTGGAACCAACTTGAAGGCACTTAACAGAAGCAACAAATGGCTTCTTTCGCCCAAGGAGCAGCTGCTGGTTTTGAACTGCTGACCTTGCAATTAGCAGCACCACGCATAATCCACCATGTCACCTTTATTTAGAATTAATTCCCACTGTGGTTCCTAAATAATCTTTCTTTTAGCTGTCTAGTGCCAGGGAGATTAGCCACATTGTCAAGTATCTCAGGACCAGTGGCTCACCCAGTAGACACAGTCCATACATAACTGTACCCACACAGTTGTTTGGTTTTCTCTGTGTCAAAACTCAAAAATGCAATGGGACTAAACCCACTGCCCCGGAGTCGACTTTAATGCATAGTGTCCTTGTGGGACAGAGTGAAATGGCTCACAGGCTTTCCAAGACTGCACGCCTCTAAGGAGCAGACACCCTCCTCCTTTGTGCATTAGACCCACATGCCTCTGTAGAACCTGGAGCATGGGAAGTGTTTTTGCCTATTTCCTGCTACTAAGTTTGCAGAACATGTTGAGAACATAACGCCTGAAACAAGTCTTTCTTAAGTAAATGAATGAATGACCCTCTGCCTTCTGAAGCCCCACGGCGATTATTCATCCAGGGATGTTCCACTGGCAGAGGTCTCCCATCCGACACTGAAATCCAGGAGAAGCACAAAACGAGACATGGAGCAGAGTCAGAGGGTGTTAACATTTCAATCTGGCCACTCTTAGTCATCAGAAATAAAGAAAGGGCCAGAACCATGTCATCAATGATTTGACACAGCCCTAGTGTCAGGGGCGTGGGGGAGGAATCCAAAAAAAGTAAAGGATTAATGACTTTAACTAGCTTTAGTTAAAATAACTCAAGACAGCCATTATTTAAAAGCAGTATACAATAACACATTTTTAAAAACTAAGTGTAAAATCAGAAACAACTGATGGTAAAGAAACAACATAGGTATGTTTTGTTGTTGTTATGTCACCAGTCAAAAAACTTCAAAACTTCTTAGGCTACCTGAAAGGCCTTCACAGTAAATTTCCTTTCCTTAAAATGAAAATGCTCGGTGCCTATGTGTGTAAGCAATATCGACATACTAACTTTGATAACATGATTTTTAACCTCAGAGAGCAGAACATGATCTGTGGACCCTTCTGTAACTCTGAGTCAGGATGGTCTCTGCTCCTCCCTCAGACAAACACTAGTAGTCCACGCACCTGAGTAAGTATAGTTGTTGTTCCATCCGTGGCCTCCACCGTAAGGTTATAATTGGATTTTTGTTCTGCATCAAGAGGTTTGGCAATAATGATGGTCCCAGTGCCCTTGTCCACATCAAAATGACTGTCATAGTTGCCACCTAGTTTACATTAGGACAAATAGAAGAGTAAGACCAGGCCGCAGGCCTAACATTTGCAATCTATTTTGCCTTTTAATACATGTCAGTGACAGAAAATTTGTATTACACTTATCAGATTGATTCCCAGGAGCTAGCCTTTTTTGAGACAAGAAGACAGCCGATTAAAGAGCTAATGCTTATTGTGCTGACAGCAAAAGGTAAGCCCTAATTGTCAAGGAAGCTATTAATTGGAAGGAAAAGGAGAAGGCAACTCCGAACACTGCAAAGCATCACTAATAGTCAATGAATTACTTTCCATTTGCTTTTGAACAGTTGTGAACATTTTTTCCATTTATAGTTCAATTGCTATATGGAAACATCAGCTAACACCCAAGGTTAGCCATTTAAAAAAGTTTAATTATTCAAAAAAAGATGCATCACACTTTGAACAGAATATAATGACAAAATAACTAATTAGGGCAGATGTTAATTCTGAAAACAATAGTGTCAGTTAGCTTCAATTAGCCCTGACTGACATACAATTTAAAAAGAACTTTTTTCCCACTGCGGTCAAAATTGCAAAAATTAATAAAATAAAAGGTCTCTATCATACCTAGATTAGCTAAAAACATCTTTAATTTTATTTTAGATATTTATCATTCAAGCAGAAGTATATAATCTGAGATGATCTGCATTTCAAATCAATCTAACTTGAGAGATTATCACCATGAAATGAAATGGAAAGAAAACAAAGGCTTCCATGTCATGACGGAAATCCACCACTAAATCTAGGAGAAAACACACACACACACACACACACACACTCCTAAGTCAAATGAAACCTAAAAATAATTAGGGATGTATTAAGTCAACACATGTGCAAATGAAATGGCAGACCATGAGCACACCATAAAAAGAAATATGGAACAAGGAGTGTCACTGTAAATTAAAGAGTTGTGAGAACTAGTGTGTTTAATCATCTGAAGACAAATGAATGGGGTCTCAGCAGATACCTTCTGCTGTACAGTTCAGGTCACAAGCCATCTGAAAGATGTAAAATACTTCTCTAGCAAGTGCATCTCCTGGCACAGCCAAAAAGAAGCAAGCAAGCATGGAAGGCAAGCACAAAACAAAGAAGAACAATCAATCAAACCAGTTCTCAATGCAGTCATTAGTAAATAGTGAAGTAAGACACGAAAAGCAATCTATTAGCCTGGAAATGTGATCAAAGTTATTAGAAGAATTACCGCGAGCTACACAAATAACCTCATTCTTGTTTTATAATTAAATTAGAAAGGTATCAGGTTGACTGGATACCCAACGACTTCGCACAGTGACCAAAACAGGGAAAACTGGCCCACTCCCCAGTCTTCCAGAGGTAGCTCCAAACTCACTCAGGCCCCGAGGTGACTGCCTCCCAGCAACTTGCCACAGGGTGATGAGAAGGCAACGCCTTCAGGGAGTAGATAGCTTCTTTCTCCTGGGGAGCAGCGGGTGGGTTCAAACCACCATTCTTGAAGTTAGTGGCCCAACACCTAACCCACAGCACCAGCAGGGCTTTCAAGAGGTAAAGCCTGTACCAAGTGGGCCTGGTAGCTATTGTAGCAAACATGCCATTGGTCTCAAATGACTGAAAGGGCGTGTGGGGTAAAATGGCTAAGAGGTGAGGGTAGTAAAGGGATATAAAGTTCCAAGGACAACTGAATTCCAACATGGACTTTTGATCTTAAATGTCCTTATTATTAGAATATTATGAAAATAAAAATGTAGCATAAAAATCCTAAAACATCTAATGTGGTTCTTTTTAAAAATGTGTGGATACATTAAAAAGTAAAAAATCCTGAAGAGTTGGATCAGGCATGTACATTTTATTACAGAATTATTTTAAACTCATGAACCTTGCTATTTAACTAAAACTAAGGTAACTAAAACAAAAATATATAAGCTGGAAGTTTAATAACTAAGTTATACAAATCAAAATTTGCATGCTTATTTCCTATGCAATACTGACAGGTGACAATCACACGTAGGCATAGCAATTTTAAACTTTCTATCATATTCACTAAATATAACAATGAGCCATATGTTATATAGAGTAGAAGCTAGGAAGCTGGGCTTCCAGATCAAATGTTTAAGATGTTCTGAAATGGCAAACTGAGTTTTAAAATAAAGTATTGTTTTTTAAATTAATGCTAAGGTAGACATAGGTTACGTATCTTAAAAAGATGAATATAGGTTGCATATATTGTGATACAGTTTGCAATAAAAATACTGCAGTTTAAAGCAAATACCCCCTGTATGTACTATATTCCTCATTTTGAAGCCTGAGATGTACACAAGATTAAAATACTACCAACAAGTTCCCTATGGCTTAACTACACAAAGCCAAGGGAGACTTTACAGAGTGCTTACCGATGATGTCAAACCAAAGAGGTGTGCCAAGAGGCTCAACTGATATTACTCCAATCATGTGAGCAACTGGGTCGCTTTCCATTACAGTAAAGGTAAAAAATGGCTCTTCAAATAAAATCGGCTCTGGAGATGGTTTGGGTTTGTAGATCCATTCAATATGGAGTCGAGTAGTTGACGACTTTTGAGGGCGACCATTATCAACTGCCTTAATCTATAAAAATAAGTAGAAAGGATAATAACTATATTTTGAAGTTACGACCATTATAGCACTGATGAAACACACAACATTCCTCTAATTCTTTAACGCCTCCTCCCCTCCACTATCATGACCCCAGTTCTATCTTACCAATCTGGCTAGACCAGAGCATGTGCACTGGTACAGATACGAGCTTTGGACACACAGAATCCAGGACAGATAAACCCCTCAGGAAGAATAAGAGTAACTAACAATACCATGATCGTAGTGGGGAAGATGGGAGGAGAAAGGGAGAACCGATCACAATGATCGATGTGTACTCCACCCCAAGGGGGGCAAACAACAGAAATGTGGGTGAAGGGAGACGGTGGATGGTGTAAAATTATGAAAATAAAATTTATTTATAAATTATCACAGGTTCAATGAGGGTGGGAAAGTGCGGGAAGTTGGGGGAAAAAGAGGAGTTGTTACCAAGTGCTCAAGTAGAAATAAAATGTTTTAGAAAGGATGTTGGCAACATAAGTACAAATGTGCTTGATATAATTGATGTGTGGAATGTTATAAGAGCTGTAAGACCCCTCAATAAAATGATTTACAAAAACAAAACAGTCTGGGGTCTTAAAAGCTTGAAGGTAAACAAG